GCATTCTCTAGCCACTTTGTGAAATTGGAAAACTTTTCAAGTTTGTCAAAGGTCAGGGTTTATTAGCCCAGGGCTTCAGACTGCTCCATCCCAACACTTCTCAGTTTTCCTTTTTCACCTGCAAAATCCAGTCACTACACATTTCAATAAATTTGGTGAAGATGACGGTTCCATGTGAAAAGTGCTATATCAAATGCAAAGATTATTCTTTATTCATACTGTACTATATTCAACCCGGCACAGGCCAACCCTCAACATTGCCAGCTCAGAGCAGAGGGTGAGACCAGATCATCTGCATACTGTCAGAAATTAATACAGTAAACCTTGCATTTAATATAGCACTTTTCACATGGAACCGTCATCTTCACCAAATTTATTGAAATGTGTAGTGACTGGATTTTGCAGGTGAAAAAGGGAAAACTGAGAAGTGTTGGGATGGAGCAGTCTGAAGCCCTGGGCTAATAAACCCCTGACCTTTGACAAACTTGAAAAGTTTTCCAATTTCACCAAAGTGGCTAGAGAATGCTGATGACCTCTGGTGACATGATTTCCTTACCTTTCTAATAGGTATCAGTACACGCTGTTCCTCACAAGATGGAGCAAATCCATTACGCCCTGGAAGCAGCAGTGAAGCTGCTTGATTTTTATGAGAGCTACTTCAATATCTCCTACCCCTTAAAGAAACTGGGTAAGTTTAAAGACAATCCTCACTGAGGTCTGCCAGTGCTCTTTGCTACTGTGTGCAACTGAGACTCAAAATACTGTATCGCCTAAATCTCCGCTGTATGAATGGGTTTTGAAGGTGGTGAGGGAGGGGGTGAGACGGAGGGACTGCGGGATGGAGTTCCAGTGGGTGGGTGCAGAGTGCCGGTAGGCCAGCCCGCTGATAGTGGGGTGAGCAAGGCAGGGGAACATGAAGTAGGCCGGATTCTGCTGAGCAGAGGGAGCGAACAGGGGTTAGGAGGTCGGAGAGGTAAGGGGGAGCAAGACTGTGGAGGGCTTTGAAGGTGAGGACCAGGATCTTGAAATGTATCCTCTGTGTGATGGGAAGCCAGCGGAGTTGGGCAAAGATGGGGGTGATAGGGTCGCAGAGCCTAGTGCGGGAGAGAACACGGGCTGCAGAGTTCTGGATGATCCACAGTCTGTGGAGGGAGGAGTTGGGGAAGCCGACAAGCAGTGAATTTGCATAGTCGAGCCTCGATATAATGAAGGTATAACAGGTATAAAGCAATAATAGTCAGAGGGAGGCACATTGTCATGGACTCCTTATTTGGATACTACTATAATTTGTAGCCCAGTGGCACAGCAGCCTTCTGCTGAATGAGTTTCTTATACAGGGAAAGTGAACAGCAGGGATTTTGAGGGTCTAATGTTGTTGCTGCAGCAAGCCGACCCAGCTCAAACTGCTCAGCAGAGCAGCACATTCCTGCATTCCACACAGCCTCTGAAGCAGTCAGTTTTACTGATGACACACACAGAACCATAACTAAACTGCACTCAAATTCATAAAATGCAGATCTTATACAAGTACAAAATCTAGATGTTTGCAAATTATTTGCAGTATTCCTTGTTCAAAAATTCCACTGGTGATGCTGCCAGTGTCTGAGGTGTGGAGGCACTGACGAAAGCCAATCAGGAGAGCCTCGGTCTTGCTGATGTTCAACTGTAGAAAGTTGGCTCTCAATCAGAACTTGATGTCAGGGCATCAGTGGTCCTGGGGTTGAGGGTGGAGGCCGAGAGATAGAGTTGGGTGTCATTTGCGTACATGTAGAAGTTGACCCCATGTCTGCAAATGTGGGTTAGCCCGGTGTTATGCAATACATCTTGATGACACAGCTATGTTTCAGTGTCTATCAAAGACATGGAGGTTAAAGACTGGTCTTCTTATTGTGTATGACTCGTCAGTGGACAAGGAAATGGATTGACTCTGGTTCAGCAACCAGGAATGATGCTAGTGAGGCCATCAGGTTTATTCAGACAGTTCACACAGAGGCTCCATAACTCACACAGAGGCTTCACTGTTGCCCAGTAAACTATCAGAAAGAAAATAAATAGCACAACGTTAACTACGTCACAGAACTAGTGAAAACAGAGAGGCTGGTTGTTTTCTCTTATTTCCTTAGAATCTTTACCAAGTTCACTTCACTCATCATTGCATTCTGCCTTAAATCCTCAAGCGTAGGTTTCAACTTTATATCCTTCAACCTCTTCCGAGTAAACATTTGCATCGGAAACAACTCTGTCTGCCCCAAGCAGGGGGCAAAAAGAAGGTTTCTTTCCCAAGCTGTAACCTCTCCCCTCCCCCAGCTCGTTCTCTCACTAACACGCATGTTCTGAGCACCATAAGTCTGGTGATAAATGGACAGTATTTGAAAGAGACAAGGAGTCCCTTAGAATGCTGAGGATATTGTTCATTACTCGTGACATCAATAAATTGCTCATTCTGTTTCTTTCCAGGACTGACAAAAACAAAGTTAGATTATTGGAAGCATCCTGTAATGACTTAGAAAACTACATCCTTAGAGAAGATCTGGGAACGAGCGAGGGAAGTCGTTGCGAACCCTAATTCCATTAACAGTATTAAGGTCCATTAGCATTGCCCCAGCAGCTGCCTGGTGTACTCGGGTGCATAAACAACAGGATGTGGTATAATATTTGGAAATAATATTTAAAATCACAATTTAAACCACTGTTCCAAAGATTTTCTTCGGCATTGATATTGAGGCTTTAGAGGAACAGCATAAAAGGATAACCATATGAATATCTCCTCTCTGTCAGCTGTGCAGGTGCTGGTAGATGCAGAAAAAAAGTTTGAGTCATTGCTAAGGCTTGTTTTGGTCAGCCAGGTGTCTGACACATGTGGCAACCCATCACCATGCTTAACAGTATCCAAACCAAACTGAGATTTCCATGCATTCCACCTACACATGGAAATTCCCATGTCTGGAATGGAATGTTCATTGGTAGCTAATCGCAGAGAGTATTGGGGTGCAGATTGGCAAGTATTTTTGAATGAAAAGTATTCCGAGACACCGTCCGGCGTGAAGGGAGCTATATAAAAGCAAGTTATTATTGCTGAATGAGGTAAAATAACTTGTGTGCTGTAAGTGAGGATAGTCAGTCCTAGAACAACCCATAGTCAAATAATGCCTAAATTAACTCAGAAAAAGCCTCCAACATCTTTGCCACAAAATAGACCTCAACCCAACCCTCTCAAAGCACCACTTCCTCCACCAGATGCCCAAAGGCTGCTCAGAGCAACGCTGTCACTTGGAAATTATTTGCCTGAATTATGACTTGTTTGTGTGTATGGGGAGGAGAAGGATGTTGTTGCTTTTCCACAGGAAATTAGATCAAGAGCGCCCACATTAATGTCTTTTAGAATTTCTACAGTTCACAGAGAGGAGTGTTTCATCTCATCTGTCTGGCCTGGATTCAGGTCCTGGTCTGACATATAAAAGGCCAATGCTCTAACTCACTGCACCACTCACTTCCTTGCTCATAACTCTATTCAATCTCAGTACAAATTGAACAGATCTCAGCTAAGTCTGTGTGACGGCTGGTGACAATTGTAATCTGGAATTGCGGAATCTACAATTCCTCTTTTTGTGGGTTGCATTTAGTCTTGAAATAGTCCGTTCATGGGAAACGTGTTCAAGGCTCTCTTAGGTTTTAGGTTGTTTGCTGCATGCAAGAAAAAGAATATCATTGGAAAGATGGTTTAAAATGCTGAGACTTCAGTATGCATTCAGCACACAAAACTAAAGATTTATAAGTAAATCACAAACTGTGAATGGGCCACTGTTTCAACTCTATCCTGCATGAAGGCCACGATATAAATGCAAGTTGTTTTTGCTTGTTGGTGTTTAATGGAAAGATCCTCCGACAACCATATTCTGATGCTCCTACAAATGTGGATTAGGCTTAAGATGAACCATAGGCGTGACATGAGATCATGCCATTGTTGATATGTACAGGAATGTACATTCCCCGAGGATAGAGTTCAAAATCCTCCTCCTTGGCTTCAAGGCCCTCCACGGTCTTGCTCCTTCCTATCTCTGTGACATGCTGACCCCATATCAACCTGTCCTCTCCCTCCGCTCAGCAGGCTCCGGGCTGCCACGTCCACCATCGACAGTCGGGTCTTCGGCCCCTCTGCCCCCACCCTTTGGAACTCCATCCTACATTCCCTTCGCCTTGCTGCCCCCCTTGCCTCCTTCAGGGCACGTCTCAAGACCCTACTCTTCAACCGTGCCTTGGGCCACCTTCCTGCCCTCCACCCTCTCTGATCCCACCACCCCCCCAGCTCGGGTCCAAATCCCTATCTGTCAAGCAACTTAGGATGGCCTCCTGATGTGAAAGACACGTTACAAATGTAATTTTGTATTGTATAAGATGGGCAGTTTATGACATTACTACTCCCAAATTCAAATTAAACAAAACAAAAACATTTCCCTGAAAGCCAGTGCGTAGAGACACTGGCCAGGTCCCAGGTATGAATCCCAGGCTGTGCTGAGTTAGCTGAAATTATAATTGGACTCTGGTGAAGCCTGGGTTAACCAATGCTCTCTGTGACTCAGTATCCGACACTTAATGACTAAGCTCACACCCGAACGCTTGATTAGCTGCTGAGAGTGACCCACAGCAAAGAGTCAGTCCCTTCAGGAGAAAAGGCCTTCCAACCAAAATAAAAAGAGCATTATTGGATTCATTTTACCACTTTGTAAAAATCATTCATCCAATTGAACCTTTGCCAAATGCATTGCACACACACACCACAAAGACTTATGTGGTCACACTAGTACAGGACAGTGTTTTAAATCTTCCCAATTACAGCAGAGACTAGAATTCAGTTTGAAGTGAAACTGCATTGCAGTCTAACACTTCAATAAATGTCATTCATACAGCGGAGATTTAGGCGATACAGTATTTTGAGTCTCAGTTGCACACAGTAGCAAAGAGCACTGGCAGACCTCAGTGAGGATTGTCTTTAAACTTACCCAGTTTCTTTAAGGGGTAGGAGATATTGAAGTAGCTCTCATAAAAATCAAGCAGCTTCACTGCTGCTTCCAGGGCGTAATGGATTTGCTCCATCTTGTGAGGAACAGCGTGTACTGATACCTATTAGAAAGGTAAGGAAATCATGTCACCAGAGGTCATCAGCATTCTCTAGCCACTTTGTGAAATTGGAAAACTTTTCAAGTTTGTCAAAGGTCAGGGTTTATTAGCCCAGGGCTTCAGACTGCTCCATCCCAACACTTCTCAGTTTTCCTTTTTCACCTGCAAAATCCAGTCACTACACATTTCAATAAATTTGGTGAAGATGACGGTTCCATGTGAAAAGTGCTATATCAAATGCAAAGATTATTCTTTATTCATACTGTACTATATTCAACCCGGCACAGGCCAACCCTCAACATTGCCAGCTCAGAGCAGAGGGTGAGACCAGATCATCTGCATACTGTCAGAAATTAATACAGTAAACCTTGCATTTAATATAATACCTTATCACAATGTCGAGACGTTTCACAGGATATACCGTAAGGTGGTGTGACTGTGTATATTTTGATGGCGAACTCGGCAGCCAATTTGCAAGCAGCAGTATCCCACAAACAGTGTCCAGACACAAGAACAAAAACACAGAAGTTAAAATGAGGGCTGCCATCTCCACCCACTGTACTCTGTGCTGTAGCAGAGCCTCCGTTGAAGGATGTGCAATGGACGGACTCCAGCCAGGTTGAATAGGGAGAGGTTTTCCACATTGTTGGTTTTGACCATGACCCAGAACTCTAGCTCTCTGCTTCGTTAAACTTGACAAATGTACACTATAGTATCCACATTAGTCACATGACCTACAGTTACATCACAAGAAAACAAATCAAATAATTTTCCTCTAAATTATTAAACAAAATGCCTTTCAATAACAATAATCTTTCTCCCCCTTGAAATACAGGGGAATCCTGAGATTGTACTCAGATTGCATCGTGAGGGTTGTGTTGTTTTATATATATGTATATATAATATATTGTATTACATATTATAGATAATCTTGAATTGATGGAGCTGCCGGTATGTCTGTTCTATGAGGATTTAGACAGCAGATGTTTGATCTTCAGCGATGGATACAAGGTGAGTAGAGGACTTACTACAGTTCCGGATTTAGATGAACTGGTGACGTGTGTCAATTCAGCGACAATAAAAGCCACCAGGTAAGTGCTCATCTTAACACTCTCACAAAATTCGTCTTCAAAGAGTCCGCCATTCTTCTCTACCGTCGCGTTCTGGAACAGAGTGTACAGTGATATCAGCCTCCATGAGAAACATCTGCATGGCTTCAAAACACATTTTAATATGCCCTTCTTGGTTTTATTGCACCTCCGTGTCAAAAACAGGCCGCAAGCTACAATACTGACCCTTGGTGGGGTGGAGGGGCGGGGAGAGAACAGTTATGTGTACAACAGAAACCCATTTGTACCTCACACCCGCACCAGCACTTACAGGTGAAGCAACAATGCAATTTACAATTAGAAAACACTGCGTATATTAACAGGGTAGATTTTATAGCATTGGAAGAAGCTACCCAAACTGCAGAAATACTTCCTGAGGCATTACATGATGCAAGTGCAGCACTGTTTTAGCCTCACCCCTGCTTGATGCATTTAATGATGCAGCAATCGTTCTGTGGACTTTTAAGTTCCAACCCTAAAAAAATCCACTCACCACAGAATACTTAAAAAATAAGGTATATTACTTAAAGGAGACTACCATTGCTCCTATTTGCAAGGATTATTATTACTATTATTATTTATTTCACCAGAAGCTAGTTTTAAGGTACATTATGATAGTTGTAACTTTAACTCGTACCACACTCAAGATATGAGCATGGATTCGGTTCCCATTTTTGCAATTACTGCATTGCTGAATATGTTGTTCTGATGATGAATTAATATGAAGTAACCTATGGAATATGTGCTTGGCAAGTCTCTGTGATTCCATAAGAATTCCATATGGGATAAAAATTCCACTAGTGGGAGCTATTACTAGGCTGTTAAGAGAGGTAACTGGATACCAAATGCTGAAAATTTTAACACGGACACATTTAGACGATTACTCATGAACTCATGGTGGAATCTGGTCAATCTAAACATCTTCATATAGTCTTACATAGTCCCTAACCTTATTCTTTCCTGTGCTAATAAGTGCTCTGAGACTCTGACCCACATGAAGGGTACTATATAAATGCAAGTTGTTGTTGTAATTTCACTACAATTCACAGTCTCACTTTAAAGTGAATCCTGTGAAGCTCTTTGAGACGTTCTCCCAGTGTGAAGGGATTATTATTTTAATTTCCTCCCTTCTCCTCCTCTTGAAGCCATTTGATTCTCTTTTTACTGTCGGAGTATTGTTCAATGCATGCTGAATGGCCATTATTCCCACGTGAGTCTAGACAGGAATGGCGCCAGGCTATTTCTTTACAGCCTGAACTGATCTAGTCCTAACCCACATAACACACACTGACATCCCCATCAGGAATTGCGGGATAAAGATCAGGAACTGACTTTTGCGTCCCTAAAACTGAGGTCAATTATAGTGGCCCTAGTACTGCCTCAGCTGAGATCAGCTAACTCAACATGGTGTGTGCGTGGCGGGGGGGGAATTAAATCTGGGTCCTTTCTGGTCTGTAGATTTGTTCAACTCCATACTATTGCAGAGATCCATCATTTCGGGCTATTTCAGCTGTAGATTACTCTGGAGAGATCACTGATGGGATGGGGGGTGTGGGGCGATGCATGTGTTCATGACTTCAATGTACACTGACAATTGGACCAGCCTTTGAGCCAATTCTGAGCTGTGTGATCCTGAATATAATACCTGCCAATGCTATGCAGTAATATCCAGCTGCTGTTAGCTTTGTCCAATGTACAGAGTCAAGCATCTCCACACGGGCTCGCGGGCTGCTACATAGTATTCCCCCCACTGACGTAAATAGAACTGCCTGTCAATCAAGCTCCTGCTTGTCAGTGACATAAACGGGAGAGGGGGAGGGGGAGCAAGAACAGGTAGATTTCTCTGTAAAGTTGAAGAAATTAAGGATATGTAAAATGTAGTTTGTAATTATATTTACTGATAGAAAGAACTTTGAACAAAAACTCCTCCTACCAGACTTTCTTTTCCTTGTAAGCATATTAAGCCATTGACTTCAAGTAAAACATCACACATTTTCCATTAGAAAATCACATGTCTGCATCTGGTTGTAAAATTTTAATTTTAAAAAAAGTTTATGTTCAGGTACCTTTTGCATATTGGATAACGCGACCTGGGATTGTTCCCTGATAATCTTGATCCGAAATGTAGCCTTAAACGCTGGTTCATCAAAGCATGGGAAGGCAGTCCGTGCAGCGAAGGGTTCAAACTGGGTGGCTGCCAACAATCTGTAAAGGACAGAGAATTACTGCAGGTTTCTTGTGTACTTGGCAAAAATAAAACATAAAACAAACTTATTCTGTGTCTTTCCAACAGAGATCTGGCACAGTAACTGAATCTGGAACTCAAGTTTCTTTGACTGATCTGCACAGTTTGTCAAGGGAAGTCAAAGAGGATACCACTGTGTGGAGCAGTTTTTTTAACTCTGTTTTGAGGTGTGGGTGAAGTGGCATTTTGCCTTCATTTGTTGCTCATTCCTGGTTGGCCTAATTAGATGGTGATGAATATTCTCTTTAAACCAATGCAACTTTTACAACTGAGTGGTTTACTAGGAGCACGATTAGGGCCTAGTCAGTCAGGCAAGGCACAAAGAGGTTTGAACAGATCGATTTCAAGATCCTCATTCACACCTAGAAATCACTTCACACCCTAATGCCTCCCTACCTCTCCAACCTGTTACAACTCACGTCTCCACCTGCCACCTTTGATCGGCCAGCTTGGACCTTCTGCACATCCCCAACCCCTCTGCTCCACCATCGCCAGCTGTACTTTCAGACACTGCACCCTGAACCTCTGTAACTCCCTGCCTCAATCCCTTTACTTTGCCCCCTCTTTACCTATCTTCAGATTGCACATGAAAACTTTCCTCTTTGACTGTGTCTATGGTCACCTCCCCTGTCTTCCCGCTCGGGGTCAAGTTATGCCACTGTTCTGCATTCTAAAACTCTACCCTGTGTGAAAAGCACTTTATCAATGCAAGTTGTTGTTAGGCTATTTCAGAAGCTATTTGAAACATGTTATGCAGGTCTAATAATAATAATCATTCACATATTTGGTATAATACCTTTTGTATCAGGATGATTTTAATGCAAAGTGTAATGACTATGTATTCTACAGGCAAACGGCAGCCAATTTGCCAATAAAATCCCACAACCAGCTTTGAAGTGAATGACCAATTTTATCTGGGGGGACTGTTGGCCAGGACAGCGGGAGAAACTCTCTTCGAGATGTGCAGTGGGATCTTTAATGTCCACCAGAACAGGGGACTGGGGTCACATGTGGGACAAACAGAAAGATTTCCTTTCCCAGAAGGACTTTACTGAAGCAGTTAGGTTTCTGTCTATTTTTTGTTTTTTTTATGAATGTGCATTCTATTCCATTACAGAGGAATTTCCATGATAGGTGGGATGCATGGAACTCCTAGTTTGGTTTGGATATTCTTAAACATGGTGATGGGTTTCCACATGTGTCAGACACCATCTGACCAAAAGCAACCATAAGGAATCTATAGGATTAGGAACAGTCAGTGCAGTCCACCTAACTGATCTCATAGCCAGTTCTTTAAGCTCAAAGCTGCAAGTGTATCAAGCTCGATATCTATGATGCAAAGTAAGGCAGCAGAGGCTGGATGCTAGCTGATTGCTATAGTGGAAGAACAAGTGATTATTTTAATAAATGAACACAATAACATCACTACGCAGCAATTACTTGGGAAAAACTCTGAGCAGACTTGAAACGATAAGGAGCTGTAAAAATAATTTTTGTTTTAAAAAAAATGACATTGATGTGTTGCTTAATAACTAAGCACTTCACAAACTGGTTACAGTTTCATTTCCATTGTCATGCAAGACTATGAGGAAGTATAAATCATCTAGAATTGGGCAAAAAATAACCCAGAAATGACACCCACTCCTCTCTTGCCCCCTTTCAGCAGCCAGCACAAATGCAGCAAGGGCCAATGGTTGGGAATAAGTCTGCTCTTTCCCTTTAACACCTTTTTGAGGCTTTAAAAAGATATAGCCATATATCCAAGAAAAACAGTGGCAATACAGAGCAATCCTTCTACAACACTGCCGCCTGGGGCCAATATCTCAGAGGACGTGTTATAAGGGAAGAGCAAATTGAAAAGCTGACTTCCTGGTCATCACGTTGCCGCTGACATCACTTCAATCATGTTGCACGCAACAGGCACGGCTGACCTCACACAAGAAGTGATGTCAGTGCTGTTCCTGCATAAAGCATATATGTAGAGCCCTCAAATAGTGACGCTGGAGGCATTTCTTGCACAGAAAACAGCGTGCAGGAAGTGACATCTGCAAAACTTTGTGCACAACACATAATGTCAGACTTAGCTGCTCAGAAGCTGGTTATTTTTATAGCGCTGGAAGTGAACTGGTCAACACGGGAAGCTAGATGTCATGGACCTAAGTGAATCTGCGCACAATCAAGGGACAAAGTGGAGTCCTGTAGCTTAGTGGTTAGAGCACTTGCCTCGCAAGCAAGAGGACCTGGGGTCGATTTCCGGTCAGGGCGAAACAAAACGTTGGGCAAGTTTCCTTACTCCAACACCTCTGTTTACCCAGCAGTATATAGGAACCTGATTGTTAATTGATTGGCGGATCAGTTTTCCGGGGGTAATAATTCCTTTAAAATAAATTTTAAAAATTATTTGGTCAATTAATCCACGACTGTTTGTGGGACACTGCTGTGTGCAATTGGCTGCCACGTTTCGCCTACAAAATATACAGTCAATTCATTTTACAGTATATTCTTTGAAGTACTTTGAGATGTCTTGAAGACATGATAAGGTGCTATATCAAATGCAAGGATTATTATTATTATATTCTAACAGGGTTGTCCAATAACAATTCGATATAGTGCCTTTTCACATTGTTGTGACATCTCAAAGCGCTTTACAGAATTCTTACTATGAGGTAGTGTAGTATATTATGAAATGGTAGATTGTAGGAGAATACTGCACTTCTGATTGGATCAAACAGTAAAAAGTCAATAATAGGACATACCATATTTATATATTCAAACATCATAACCTCAAAATATGTCCTGGGCTTTCAGTTAAAAGGTTTATTTCCTTCTCGTGACTTTTCAAAACGAGCAGATATATCACAAAGTAGTTTTAATTGAATTCAATAAACATAATAAATCATTACCTCTTGTTCTGGTCTTTGTCTTTATAACTACTATTATAGAATCCATAATAGGTGTTAGACAGGTTTGCTGCATAGTTCAGGTTCAGATTGTACTTTTGTCCTTTTAATAAGTTGGGAGTGACCTTGATTGCAATTTGCGCCCTTGGTATATACTCCAAAACCTTGACAGCCATCGGCTGGCCTCCCACTTCTGGAGCCAAAGTTGCTTCAGTGTAGTGGAGACCCGAGCTATGGAGAATGATGCTGTCTGTGTTTTCCTTGACTTCGAGATGTATCTCCACTGAGCCCGTGAACGTCAAGGTAGTGAGATTGGGATGCAAAACAAGAACATAACGGACTGGTACAACAGCATTAGGCAGTCTCATCTTTGCCCAAGGAAATACCTTGCCATCGGCTGTCATGGGAAATATGGGGGTCAAAGTTGTGTTCTTTTTATGACAGCCTTCTTTGGTGAAGGTACATTTTGGCAGAAAGTAGGCGACCATTGCTACAGAGAGTATGATCACAAAAACAAACGCTCCCACTATTATGGTCCGAGCAGATGTTGAGCAAGATCCCCCCGATGTTTCCCTGTTATAGCCCCCTGCTAAGTTATTGCGGTGGTTGGAACTCCTGTTCATGAAGGACATGCCCAATAATCTTGCAGAGGATTCGTAATCTTCTTCATCATCTTCAAGATCGTGTTCTCCCAGACCCCGCACGAGCAAGCGTGAGCTGTGTGGCTCGTACTCAACCTCATCTGGCTCCAGGGGATGAAGACGCGGTTCCTTGGCCAAATCGACCACGTCTGGCTCTTCCTCAAACATGCTGTTTTCAATCATGTTTCTGGGCAATTGAGCTCGCTCTGCAAGACAAAATGGATTTGAATGGATAAGGCATCATATGCAAACTCTGGTCAGGTTGGTTCCTTTGCACATCTGCACAAATTGACCCACACTTAGATCTCCATCAGGCTGTAAGTGGACTCTATTCTGGGTGTGAATCATCATCATTTCCATCCAGTTCCAACGGGAAAATGCCCTTGATTAATCCTTGCACTTTGCGTTTGATTTTTTTGTGATTCTGTATATACAAATTCATACAATTGCAAGAACAACTTGCATTGACATAACATTTTCATGTAGGGAAATGTCTCAGAGCACTTTACACCAATGCACCCCATCCCCTCATCAATCGAAACACCAAATTCGTGAGCCAGATCTGAACCTGTACTAGGAGTTCACTTCAGGTCAGCCCAAAAGATGACTGTTACAAACCAGTTACTTGATATCTTACAAATAATAAAACCCATTCAGCCACTTATATTTATTGATTATGACTAGAAATTGCCAAACAGCAACTCATTCTTACTATTTCTATGCTGAAAAGGAGACCTTGTTCATTAATTACCATTTCAGTACTTTGGAAATAGTGTGTTACAGTACTATATTTCAGACAGGAGGAGCATTAACTAGCAGAGCAAATCAAACTAAAGGCAATTCTAAGTATCCACAAGCAGTGAACTGGGATTCTAGTGGGAATTCTGCCCTTTTCTATATACTGTGCAATAAAGGAAAAGAGCATCATCATCTGCCAGAGTGAATTACCGTCCGCTTGGAATTACTGTACCAACAGGAACACAATCTGCTTCTGCTCTGATAAACTTTTTTGAATTCAACCAATAAGTTCTGAAAATGTTTCAGTAATGGTGACGCATAAAACAAATAGCTAAATTATGCATCTAGCAATCTGGAGCACAATACAGAAAGTTCCATTCCAACAGAGGCCACGATTATACTGTACTGTATATTTTTAATACTTGGACAGAATAAGAGGTGCTAATTTCAGTCCAATTTGAAACTTTTCCAAGTTTATAAGAGCAGCCCATTGTTGGGAGTTAAGTAGAGAATTCAATTGACTTGGTCACTGATGCAATTCATGTCATGCTCTAAGTGTCTTAGCAAAGGAGTACTTCTTTGATTGCTTGGCTGGATTGCATTTAGATTTGTTGAGGGTAAGCAACAATCCATACCTAAAAACATTACTTTTTTAAACCAGCAATTAAAAATATAAGCCGTTCCTTTTCCTCAGTCACCACCTAGCCTTCATTGAATGCTTTGACTTGAGTTAAAATGTGAGCATATGCGGGAACCGGCTATCTGCTACCTGAACAAAGAACAATTAGAAAGGGCATTATTACTGAGCTCCCATTCGTTCCTCACCAGAGGTGCACGAGAATGGCCACTCTTCAACAGAACACACAGGAGCAAGACATCAGGCTGATTCTCCCCTTACTAGCTAAAGAGACAATTGTAGCACCAATTCAATTCACTTGACAATATATTCTGTGAAGCGCTTTGAGACCTCTCAATGACATGATAAGGCTCAATATCAAATTAAAGGATTATTATTATTATTATAATAATGGAGTCCTGTAGCTCAGTGGTTAGAGCACTCGCTTTGCAAGCGAGAGACCTGAGTTCAATTCCAGGCAGGTCAGGGCGAAACCTTGGGCAAGTTTCCTTACTCCACACGCCTAATAATAATCCCTCCAAAAACCAAAAACAATAATAAAATTGGTCATTTTCAATCTACGACTGTTTGTGGGACATTGCTGTGCGCAATTGGCTGCCGCGTTCGCCCACAAATATACAGTCAATTCACTTTACGGTGTGTTCTGTGCAGTGCTTCGGGACGTCCTCCCGACATGAAAAGCGCTATATCAAATGCAAGGATTATTATTATTATCTTAAATGTTAAGACTAAATGGTCTTACAGGCTCCGCACCCGCATCACACCAGTTCCAGTTGAATTGCAGAGGGATTAACTAGTTAGCTTGGTGGATCGATTGGTTAAGTCTGTTAGTGAATTCTTCAGCGGTTGATGAGGATTCTCCAGAAGCAAAGGGGAGGATCTCACACAGATGTTCCGAGACATTAAGATGAAAAACAATGGTGCTTTAATGGTGAAGCATTTTTTGAAACTATAAACACAGTATGATTCAGTGCTCCTGGAAACTAAACAGTAAGCAACAGCATCGGCCCATCTTGACAATCGCCCAACATGACCAGATGCCACTCAGCCTCTGTCAAAACTAACCCGGAAAAAAGATCCGCCAATCGACTAATCGACGGGTTCCGACTTACTGCTAGGTAAACAGAGGCGTGCGGGGTATGGAAACTAATGACACAATTGCCAAAATGTCCTGTTCTATCTTCTGAAATGTTTGTCATTCAAACGGAACATAAATCATGTGAGTGAGCCACGGAGTGGGGGAAAAAAGAGGAATCATCACATATGTACACTCCATATTTGTCTCCATGTAAAACAAGCTGCAGCAGGAGTACGCCTGTTCCAGACATTTAACTCTTGCTGGGAGCATGCAAATATTCCCCCAAATTCTAATTTATTGGCTACTTCGCTCATTGCTGTTTACATTACAGGTGCATCACTACACCTATACCATGTTTAATAGTTGGCTAATCTGATACTTTCATATCTAATATGAAAGAAGCATCATTGAAATAGAGAAGGAAAAGACACTGGACAGAAAAAAGCCATGAGAATCTTTTACTCCAAAAAACAAATACATTCCTCATATCATGAAAAGCGATTTATCAAATGAAAGGATAAGTAATCATTTTAAATAATAATAATAGTCCTTGCATTTGATACAGCGCCTCATCACGTCTCCAAGATGTCTCAAAGCGCTTCACAGAATATATTGTCAAGTGAACTGACTATATTTTTGTGGGCGAAACTCTGCAGCCAATTGCGCACAGCAGTGTCCTACAAGCAATTGAGGATTGAGTGATTTATTTATTTATTTATTTTTGAAGGGAATATTATGACTGGAAAAGAGATCCACTTTTATGAACTAAATTAAAAGCTAAGAAAATTTTATCAGTACATAACTTTTATCCTAAAACCTCATATTAAACAAGAACAAATGACATTTGTATAATAATAATAATCCTTGCATTTGATATAGCGCTTTTCACGTCGGGAGGACGTCCCAAAGCGCTTCACAGAACACACTGTAAAGTGAATTGATTGTATATTTGTGGGCGAATGCGGCAGCCAATTGCGCACAGCAATGTCCCATAAACAGTCGTAGATTGAAAATGACAAATTTATTATTGTTTTTGGTTTTGGAGGGATTATTATTAGGCGTGTGGAGTAAGGAAACTTGCCCAAGGTTTCGCCCTGACCTGGAATTGAACTCAGGTCTCTCGCTTGCAAAGCGAGTGCTCTAACCACTGAGCTACAGGACTCCACCTTTCACATAGTGCCTTTCACATCGGGACGACGTCCGAAGGCGCTGGACAGTCAGGGATTTGGACACCAGCTGGGGGTTGGGATCAGGAGGGTTGGAAGGCAGGGAGGGTAGGAAGGTGATCGAAGGCGCGATCGAAGAGGAGGGTCTTGAGACGTGCCTTGAAGGAGGCAATGGAGGGAGCAAGGCGAAGGGACTGTGGGATGGGCGTTCCAAAGGGTGGGGACAGAGAGGCAGAAGGTCCGACAATGGTGGGGTGGGCCGGGCGGGGTCATGGAGCAGCCTGGTGAATGGAGGAAGCGGACAGGCCAATACAGTGTTAAGTCACAGAGATAGGGAGGAGCAAGGCAATGGGAGGGCCTTGAAGGCAAGGATGAAAATTTTGAACTCTATCCTCTGGGAGATGGGAGTGGTGCTGGGGTTGCTGAGGTCAGCGAGCCTGGTGCGGGAGAGGGAAATCAGAGGGAGGCACAGAAGTTAAATTGTATTGTAAATTATATTGAATAGATGAGTGATACAATACAAAATTACATTGGTAAAGCGCCTCTCACATCGGGAGGACGGCCTAAAGCACTGAACAGTTGGGGATTAGGACCCGAGGGTGGCACGAGGGGGATCAGAAAGGGTGGAGGGCGGGAAAGGTGGTGATAGGTAGTTAGCTGAACAGAAGGGTCTTGAAGCATGCCTTGAAGGAGGGAGCAAGACAAAAGGAATGGGGGATGGAGTTCCAGAGGTTGGGGGCAGAGAGGCTGAAGGCCCGATCGCCGATGGTGGGGCGGGCCAGGTGAGCCTGCTGAGCGGAGAGAGTGGACAGGTTGATAAGGGGTCAGCAGATTGGAGAGGTAGAATGGGGCAAGGCACTGGAGGGCCTTGAAGGTGAGGACGAGAATTTTGAACTCTATCCTCTGAGTGATGGGGAGCCAGTGGAGCCGGGCGAGGGTGGGTGTGATGGGGTCACGGAGCCTGGTGAAGGAGCTTCAGAGTTATGGATGATCTGCAGCCTGTGGAGGGAAGAGTTGGGAAGGCCAACAAGCAGGGAGTTTGCATAGTCAAGGCCAGATGTAACAAATGCATGAATGAGGATCTCGGGAGGCCTGAGGGGATAGACAGTGGCAGTCGGACGATGTTTGCGAAGGTTGGGGAAGGCAGAGTGGGTCATGGCACAGATGTGGGGTAGAAAGGACAGTTGAGGGTTAAACAAGATGCCAAGGTTCCAGACTGGCCTAGTGAGGTGGATGCTGTCAGTGCCTGACGTGAGGAGTCGCTGACAGGAGCCAATCAGGAGAGCCTCGGTCTTGTTGACTTCAACTGTAGAAAGTTAGCTCTCATCCAGGACTTGATGTCTGACAGACATTCTGTCAGCACAGCAGTGGTCCTGGAGTCAAGGCTGGAGGCAGTGAGATAGTGTTGGGTGTCATCCCCATACATGTGGCAGTTGACCCCATGTCTATAGATGATGCCACCAAGATGTACATGCTCCCTCTTGGTGGTGGGAGGAGAGGACCAAGGACAGAGTACTGAGGAATGTATATTAAAATCCAACAGATCTTGCACGGAGTAACTACAATACTTTAAAAATGCTTAGTTGG